TTGTATTGGTTTGGCAGGGACGGCGAAGGTGCTAGCATATGGCCTGCTGTACGCAGGGCCATCACCGCTCTCAACAACCATAACAAACTGCACTTCGCAGCTACACTGGATCGTGCGCGAGCACCCCGCGATCACTTCACATCGGGTTTTGACAGGGACCACTGGCGGGGGTGTTGGCATATTTCAAGCTGTGCGTAGGCCCACCAGACATCACAATGGCCATTCCGCCGCGATTACACTGGTTTTCGACAAGGGCGCTGGTGGCAGACATGTTTAACTTGGCGCACATGGCGCAGCTGGAGCACGCGGCGTTCTTAGCGCACGTGGATCACGTGGCGCATCTGGCGCAGCCAGGCGTGCCTGGCAAGCTTGGGCGCCTGGCACGCGTGGCGCACCTCGCCCCAGCTTCGCGCACCTGGGGTTTGTACTGGTTGCCAGCAGCTGTCGCTGAATATGCTGAGACTCGGATATTACTTATGTGTTGGGGGAGCGTGCGGGAGTGAGCCAAACAGTGTGCGTCTGCCCTACACCCGCCCCTGGGTCTAGACGGGGAGGATGGACCAAGATGGGTCCAAGCGTGCCCCAGATGATGCAAGATGGCCTTCAGGATGGCTCAAAGTACTTCAAGATGGCTCAAGATAGCTTCTGACATACGTCCAAGATCCTCTTAAACAGCCCCAAGAGTGTTGCAAGTGCCCTCCGAGCCTTCCCCCAAGACGACTCGAAGAGCGTCCACGAGGCTCCCTAGAGCGCTCCAAGAGGGCTGGGAGAGGCAAATGTTCGGCCTCCGAGGGGGCGGCCCGAATTCAGGACCCCCCACTTGTTTAGCCATGGGGCCCAAGATCGCTCCAAGAGGGGCCCCAAGACCCCCACCAAGAGCCCCAAGAGGGCCCCACGACCGCCCAAAAGAGCATCGGGAAAGCCTCAAGAGGACTCCACCAGGTCGTCCAAGAGATACGGCTCCAAGAAGACCCCAAGATGGCCACAAGAAAATCCCACACAAACAGGTCTGCGACGCGAGGATTCGGTGCTCCACGGATCCTTCGGAGCCGCTGTTGCACCGCATGCTTCTGCCCTTCCCTGTTCAGGGCAATCCGCCTGGCGATCGCTTCTCTGGATGGGGTGGTATTAGGGGAACGAAGAATGACATAAACATAAAAACTCTGAGGTCCGCGATGATTTCTCGGATCCGCGCTGGACCCCCCTCCCTGGCGCGCGGAGCGCGCCAGGGGCGGGCCAGGGGCGGCTCTGGAGGCGCCGCCAGGGGGGTCCAGCGCGGATACGGGAAATCCGCGCGGACCTCCGAATTTTTTATGGTTATGCCATTTTTCGTCCCCCTAGGTATGGATACGCGAAGCGTCCTTACTTGCAGCGACAACCCAGAACTTCACGCAGTGTAAAAGAAACCCCGGAACTTCAACAAACGTAGCACTTCACGTATCCAGGGCGAATCATTGTTTCAGCATGCAGGCTTCGCTGGAGACTTCCTTGCAGCTCACGGCCACACGTGGTCCAAGGTTGTGCAGCAGGTGCACGGGTGGGGGCAGTCCACTTCTTCGAAGGTAGGATCTCGCTGGACACCACGTTGCACTGGGCATGCTTGTTCGCGTTCCTGCTTACGCGCCAGACTGATGCAAGGCAGTTCCTTTTCGAAGCGGGGCCCTCGCCAATATGGCAGGCTCAACTGCGCTAGTCTTTCAAGGGAGCGCTTCTCGTAGTGTAAAGGAAAACTTCAGGGACGCATGAGGAGGGGACTTGGGATGAGAGGGTCTTGGGCTTACGCTGGGCCTCCTGCTCATCCTCCGCCGCCTCCACCTCCAACTACTTCTCATCCTCCTCCGCCACACTCGTCAATCCCCTCCTCGTCCTCATCCTCCCCACCTTCCCCTGCGTCCCTCTCTCATCCGTCTCCTCGTCCACCTTCCGAAAGGCAGTCTGGGGTGGTTGTTGGGATAAACGGATGGCTAACCCGTAGGATGACATGCCAGAGTGCAGGGAGCACACCCGCTCAAGAGGTTTGGGCTAATTTGCCGAGCGGGTAGCCTGATGCCATGGGCGCCAGTGTCGACGGCCAGAAGGTTGCAGATCTGAGGTTGTAGATACCGTCCCAGGGGCACAAGCGGCGCCCTGGCCAATGGCCCCCCGGTTTTCAAGGCAGCGTGCCAGCGACGGACTCGAGAACCGCATTAGCTGCAAACCAATTACAAGTGGAGGTCCGCTTTTATCCTAGACACGCTTGTTACTCTCTCGGCCAGTTCGAGCTCGAGAAGGTAGACCAACCGTGGCGGAATGAGTGCTGCCAGCAAAGCAACAGCAACGCTGCTTGCAAGACAGAGTTGCGGGCCCTACTTAGAGTCTCACAGGTCCATTTGTTATGTCTCCACCCACCCTGGCCGCAAAGTCCAAAGCCATCCTCCTAATAGTATTCCGTCTTCTCCTCTTCGTTCTTCTCCACCTGCCGTAGCATCATGATCATCAGCAGCAGCAGTAGCATTAGTAGCAGCAGCAGCAGCATCATCTGCACTGGCATCCTACTGTCACGCGCACTTGCCAGGGGCCATTGCCTCTCGGCGCCCTGCCAGCCCACTGGCCAGACTGTGTCGCAGGCGACGAATTCGCGTAGCCGCGTCAGCCGTGTGGGGTGCAAACGATTGTCAGTGCGTCGACGTTTGCGTGTATTTCTGCCAATGCAAAACCCCGAATCGGCGAGTGAAAAACGACATCGATTTCGCGTGGATTCTGTTTTGTCTTCAGTCCCGGCCCAAAACAAATCCGCACGAAATTCACCTCGAAATTCTGAACGAAATTCTCCAGGACACTCCCGGCCCATCCTATCGTTTTCGGAACGAAATCCGCTCTGCGATCTTGGCGCCATGAGAATTGGCGCCTGGGATGCGACCGGCGAGGCGTACAGCCGATCGAAGGCTGTACCTTCGGCGCGCCCGGAGGCGCTGTCGAATTTGACGGCGTTGCGTTTGTTCCCCCCTGTGCTGCGGCGCTGGGCGCCCTGGTGCGAACAGGCCGTCGACGCATCTCGCAGGACACGCTGCTGACACTGTGAGCGGCCTCGCAAGTGGGCGCTTCAGCGCAGGCTGCTCAAAAGCATCCAGGAGCAAATCTAACTTGACAATCTGGGGGGGCCGAACGCACGGGCGTCCTGAGCCAGCCGCTTCGGCTCGGAAGCGGCGGAAGAGGTCCATGCGGGGACCCGTGAGCCCCGAAACGCCCGAGCCGCTGGAGGGAGCCCATGGTAGATGCGGGGACGCTGTGACCAAAAGTGCCACTGCGCGATGCCCTGATGGCTCTCGGCTTTCGCACGCGCGACCAAGCCACCTCCCTCCTCTCCTCCACCTTCTGAAGTCGCGTACCGAATTATCTCTGCTCTACTTACTACCATCCTTCCTCGTCCTGTTCTCTCTCTCTCTAGATTTTTCTTTTTTTTTTTTGATTTCTCTCTCTCTCTCTCTCTCTCTCTCTTCGATCTATTCATCTACAACTATGAATGTACATATATATACACATGTTTATATATATATATATATATATATATCGGAGGTTGGGAAGTGAGATCGCAGTGAAACGGACACCTCCCACCGGGAAATCGGTTTCGGTTTCGTGTTCGTGTCGTGCGTGCGGGCCAGGCGAAGCTGCGCGTGATCCCCCTGTAGCTAGGCCGAAGTAGGAGCGAAAGTCCGGGTGCCCGTCCGCCGGTGGCAGGTTGGGCCGGGCGGTGTCCCGGGTGTCCCGGGTGGGAGCGAAAGTCCGGGTGCCCGTCCGCCGGTGGCTGGTTGGGCCGGGCGGTGTCCCGGGTGTCCCCAGTGTCCCGGGCGTCCCGGCGCTAACGCATGTCGCTAATTTTATAATCATTTGTTGTTCGGCGCCTGCGGCGGGCTTGCTTATCCAATCCAGCTTACTTTCTCATATCCAATCCTTCTTGTCCAATCCACTCCATCTTATCTTATCCACCCAATATTGTCCCATCTTATCTTATCCCACCCAATCCAATCCAACCAACCCAATCCATCAATTCATTTGTTTCTGCGCCTGCGGCGGGCCAATCTAATCCATCTTATCTTCCGCCGGTGGCCGGTGTCCCAGTTGGGCCGGGCGGTATCCGGGGAGTCCCAGGTGTCCCGGGCAACCCGGCGCTAACGCATGTCGCTGATTTCATACTGACATGTTTTTGGCGCCTGCGGCGGGCTTTCTTATCCAATCCAGCGTATCTTATCTTATCCAATTCATCTTGTCCTATCCAATACATAGTATCTTATCCAACCCATCTTGTACCATCATATCTTATCCCACCCAATCCAATCCACCCAACCCGATCCATCAATTCATTTGTTTCTGCGCCTGCGGCGGGCCAATTCAATCCATCTTATCTTATCCAATCCATTTCTTCCAATCCAACCCATCTTATCTGATCCTATCCATCTTATCCCATCCAATCCATCAGCCTATGTTGTTCGGCGCCTGCGGCGGGCTTTCTTATCCAGTCCAGCTTATCTTATCCAATCCACCTTGTCCAATCCAAGACATCTTATCTTATCCAACCCATATTGCCCCATCTTATATTATCCCACCAAATCCAATCCACCCAACCCAATCAATCAATTCATTTGTTTCTGCGCCTGCGGCGGGCCAATCCAATCCATCTTATCTTATCCAATCCATTTCTTCCAATCCAACCCATCTTATATTATCCAATCCATCTTATCCCATCCAATCCAATCCACCCAACCCAATCGAGATAAAGGTGACAGGCTGGAGGTCAGTCAGGGTGGGCATTTGATCTCAATCCCCCCCCAACCTCCTTATCGCCCGCAGAGCGGTCGTATAGGTAAATGTATACCCCTATGTTTCTCTCCCTCTCTCTCTCTTACACAGCCATCCCTACTTACCTCCTCCTCCTCCTCCTCCACCTCCTCATCCTCCTCATCCACCTCCTCCTCCTCCTCATCCTCCTCCTCTGGCCCCAAGCCGCTTGCCGACCCAAGCGCTCCAGGAGTTGCTGGATGCGGTCCGAGTCTCGCGGCAGCCACTCGTCGTACTCGTCGTCGAAGCCGTCGTAGTGTATCTTCACCTGCCAGCTGACGAAGCACAGAATAACAGGAAGCTGGAAACATACGGCTGGGATCACGCGCGGGGGCAACGCGCAAGGTACACATACCTATCCTCGAGCTCATCCCTGTCCCTGGTAAGATTGACAACCCCAAGGCGATGACAGTCGTAGTAGATGCGCCCCTATAAAACAAGAATCAATTCCGAAAGATCGTAACACAGAACAAGGTGATGCCGATCGACAGGTATAGTAATACGCCTCAAGTGCTGTAACACACCGGAAATATCTTATGGCCGCCGTGCCCAGCCACGCAGGGGCTGAGTGCTGTGAAGGCGAGCGGCCACACCGGCACACGCTTACGCAGCTAGGCACGCCGCACCAAGAGAATAGATGCTTTCCGCCAGGGGGGGGGGCACCTCTCAGGTGGCGACCGGGAACTCTCGACTCCCCTGTGGCGCGAAGCAAGGGCGCGCAGAGCTCCCGGCCACCCCTGGGGCAACGGCGTGCCCCCCACACGCGACGGAAGTCCCTCGAGGTCCTCAGAGGCCTCCGGAGATCTCCGATCCCCAATTCCCTGGAGGCCTCCGGAGGTCTTCAGAGGTTCCCTGGAGACCTCCAGAGGTCCCCAGAGGCCTCCAGACGCATCCGAAGGACCGAACAAGTTCACAAAAGTACGCAAGAAAGATTCGATCCTCGCCAGCGGCCGTCGAGGAGAGGGCGGCGGAGGAGAGGACGAGGGGGAGAGGACGGCGGAGGAGGAGGAGGACGGGGGTGGAGAAGGAGGGTGAGGCGACGGAGAAGGAGGAGGAGGACGAGGAGGAAGCGGCGGAGGAGGAGGAGGAGGCGGAAGGCGAGGAGGAGGAGGAGAAGGTTGAGGAAGAGGACGGGCATGGAGGGGAGGGGGTGGAAGAGGTGGAGCAGAGGGGCGAGGAGGGGCGGCGGGGGGGGACGACGAGGTGGACGAGGGGAAAGAAGGGGGCGAAAGGGCGGGGAAGGAAGGCACTGCGAGCCTGGTCCCCCCTCGCGCCGACGACGGTGCACTCCCTCTCGGCACCGGACGGGCTCACCACGGCGACGGCCGCGCCGAGCTGCAGTCCGGCGGCGGCCCGCGGCGCCTCCTCGTCGCCGGCGGCCTCGCGCGCGGCCGCGGGCGGCGCCGGCGTGGGGGGGCCCGGCTGCTCCTGGAGAGGCCCACATC